CTGTACTGAGGTTGGTGTTCTTTTCCTTCGGAGTTGGTTGAAGAAATGCAGACACCAGGCGGTAGTTTGAAGGAGTTTCTTCAGAGAGCTGTATCCTACAAGCAATTCCGATTCAGCGGGTGGTGGTTGTTTTCGAGTGTGAATTGCGAAGCAACTTGCACTTCTCTTTTCCGGGCAATCTACATTTTGAGACACATCAGTTGTTTGCCAAGGCTCCGAGGAGATTGTTAGGAAGCTAGGTCCATGCAACCACAGCGAGGAGGCCGAAAGGTCCGGCGGTGTAATGCCTCTTGAAGCGAGGTCCGCTGGATTCTCCTTGCCGGAAATGTGATGCCAAGCTGCTTGAGGCACGGTAGTCTGAATTTCCGAGACTCTATTTGCAACGTAAGTCTTCCAAGTCGTTGGACTTTCTCGCAACCATGCGAGAGTAATTGTTGAATTCGACCACAGATGACAGTTAACAGTTTGCATCGAAAGTGTTATTAAGTGTACATTGATCTGTGGGAATGAATCAGTATATTACATTATATCGAATGAAGATGTAGTAGGAATGATATTGTTACTATATGTACATTTCTCTGTGGGAAGGAATCAGGATATTACATTATATCTAATGAAGATGTATTATGAATGATATTGTTACGATATGTACATTCCTCTGTGGGAAGGAATCAGTATATTACATTATATCCAATGTAGATATCTTATGAATGATGTTGATATTAAATGTACATTGATCTGCGGGAAGGGATCAGTACATTGCATTATATCTAATGAAGATGTAGTATGTAAGAGGCAAAGAAACCTGTTTAAGAGCTGCTACTTTGGTTTTTGGAGTAAGACTGAAGTTATTTCACCTGCTTTACTTATAATGCGCAGATAAAGGCACGCAGCATAAGCACTTTCTGAAGCGTCCGAAAATCCATATATCTCCACGTGGCAGGCGTGAGATGAATAACCGACCCACCGTGGTATAGAAGTCAACGGTAAATCTTGAAGCTGAAGTGTGAGAGCTCGCCATCTTTCCTGAAGATGGTTAGGCAGTGGATCATCCCATTGGAGTCCGGAATGCCACTACTGCTGCATGAAAATTTTGAATGTCACAGTGACCGGTGTTATCCAACTAACAATAAGGGGATCGTGTAACTGTGATATTAGTGATAAAGCACTGCGCTTGGTTACAGTCTCCTCTGCGTTGATGTCAAAGTCAAAGTTGAACGAAAAACTATCAGAAGTTGGCTGCCATGAAACTCCAGTAGTTGTTCTATGCGGATTCTAAATCACTGGTGTCAGCATTTTTTTTGCTGACTCAGCAGAAATTTGACTCCGTCAGTGCCACCCTCATCCCCACCCTATGATTACCCCCACCCCATAACCTTGAACTGAAATTTGACACCCTCACCCCACCTCACCACCTCAACAGAAATATGACACCACACCTCAACCCTACCCCCATGACCATGAACTATTTCTTCTTATCGGAAGACGACACAAAACCCCGCCCACTTTTTTCTACATCTTGGAAATGAGATTTTTTGTTGGCGCAGCAAATCTGACGCTGCAATTCGCGACTATAGAAGGTAGGGGGTTTGCTCATAACCTTGAACAAATTTTTTGTACGTCTTGGAAATGAGGTTTTTTTGTTGACGCTGCAGAGTGAACTGTAATTAAACACCTTCGTCAATGACAGCCCCACTTTAATAAAAATGGGAGGAAATCGGCAATGTGTGTCATATGTAGTTTGACAATCAGAAGTGCAAGAATACTTAACGCATTTGTGGAAAAGGGAAATGGAGGCCACGTTTCTGCGGAAACTCGAATGCATCACCGAATTATTGGTACAGCGGGTTATAAACATCAATACCGAAGATGAGCGTTGTGATTGCTTGATGCAATGTGACCAGTGCATCGACTTGATAGACGAACGATTACAAATGACGGCAAGATATAGAAGCATACAAAGAAAGAATCGACGCCTAGTGGTCAAAAGGCAATATTACTGAACGAACTTGCTTGTATAGAACAACTTTTGACACAACGTATTGCGGCCATAAGTAGTAATGACGATCGAGACGCATGTCTGGCGCAATGCAATCAATGCATTGACTTAATAATTGACAGAAGAAACGAGGGAGTTTCTGTAGGTGGGGGGCGTGTTAATGACAAGCCTTGTGTACTTAGTAAAAAGAATATTTAATATGTTTAATGAAAAATATATGTATCGCGCACTACATCCATGCAATTTGGCGTCTCCAATCTGATTTCAAAAAACAGAATCGCTGCCAGGGGCCTCAGTATCGCCATGCGTAGACCGACATCGATCTTACCGATCCAACATCCCCTTTATCGGTGTTGGTTTCCAAACTCAAATTTCGTTGCTTAACCCTAACGTACATACATGTTTAAGATGCTTAAGTCTAGGCAGGGGTTTCGTAAAGATATCCACCACCATATCTTCACATTTTACATAAGTAACTTTTATCTCACCCCTTTCGGCGATTTCACGCGTGTAATGATAGCCAATGTCTATATGCTTGCTCCGATTATGAAATGTAGCATTTTTCGTTAACTCTATGGCGCTCTGATTGTCACATAACATCGCGATTGGAGCTTTTACATAGTCTTTAAATCCCATGTGAGTTAACAGTCTTTTCGTGTACACTACCTCTTTAGTTACTTCCGCTAACGCTGCGTATTCCGCTTCCATTGTTGATAGTGATACTGACTTTTGCTTCTTCGACTTCCAGCTAACTGGTCCACCAGCCAATATTAACAAGTTACCGGTGCACGATTTGCGATCGTCCACATCGCCTCCCCAGTCGGAGTCCGAATACGCTACGAGCTTTTCGTTGTTCCTTTGGTAATTTATTGTATAGTTCGAGGTGGCTTTCAGGTACCTGAGTACTCTTTTCGCCAAGTCCCAATGAGTTTTTCCTGGGTTTGAGTTAAATCGACTAGGGGTTGATGCCGCAAAAGCGATATCCGGTCAGGATGCATTGGCGAGATAATTTAATCCTCCGACGAGTTCTCTGTATGGTCTTTTCTCCATGTCTCTTCTTTCTTCGTCACTTTGTGGACCCATTTCTTTTGAAACTTTGGTATTTGATTCTATCGGGGTCGATACCTCTTTTGCGTCTTGCATGTTGAACTTCTTTATTAGTTGTTCAACATATTTTTGTTGCGAGTGTGTGATCTTACCAATGTTTCCATCTCTTTTAACGTTTATACCCAGGATATTCTTAACAGGCCCCATATCCGTCATTTTGAATTCCCGTTTTAGCGAGGATTTCACTTCATTCAGTTTCTTCATGCTCTTTGACGCTAGCAGCAGGTCGTCGACATAAATAATCATAATCACTCGGTCTTCCTGACTTCCATATACGTATACGCATGGGTCTGCTTCCGTGCGTCGCGCGCCATGTGCTGTGACGCTTCTATCCAACTTTTTATACCACTCACGACCCGACTGCTTGAGGCCATATAAAGGCTTTAACAACTTACATACCTTGTCCTCATCGCCACGCTTCACAAACAATTCGGGTTGTTCCATGTACGTTTCGTCAGCTAGCTCACCTTGAACGTACGCCGATACTACATCCATGTGATGGACGTACATTCCTTCATTTACAGCCATCGCTAGGAGTGTCCTTATGGTTTCATACCGGGCAACCGGAGCAAACACCTCCTCATAGTCTATTCCTTTTCGTTGGGTATGGCCGCGTGCTACAAGTCTAGCTTTGTATAATACGTGACCGTCCTCACGGTCTTTTGTTTTGAATACCCATTTGCTTGTGAGGACATTTTTATCCTTTGGCCTCGGAACCAATTTCCATTTGCTGTTTCTCAATAGGGTGTCGTGTTCCACTTCCATCGCCTCTAGTCAGTAATCGGAGTCCTCTCGCTTCAATGCTTCATCCACGTCTGCTGGGTCCTCAGGCGTTCCTGCAATCGTTTTGAAGAGTTTCCTTGGTCTTCCTACTTTACCTGTTCTTTGGATTCTCGGTCTTCCACGTCCACGCTTCACAGTTTGCCACTCATTTCTTGGATCTTCGTCTATTTTCGCAGACCCTTTGTCATCTTCTTCACTGAGACATCCTTCTTCATTGTCTTCTACGTTGGGACATTCCTCCTTTGTGTCTTCCTCGTTAGGGAGATCTTCGTTGTCGTCCTTTTCACTAGTTTGATCTGCGTGTGACCCGTATAGGACCAGCGGGTTGGTAAACAGTTTGTGCGTTGATTTTTCATCCGGTTCTACAATTTCAATGAATTTTACGTCACGGGCCTTAATTACTATTTTGGTATGTGGCTTCCAAAGTCTATATGCTTTTGACGCGTTGTCATAACCAACTACAGAGGTGCCCAGTTAGGCGTCCGCATTTTTGCCCACATAAGAGTCCGTCGCTATCCCCACCAATTCTTGGAAATAGAACCTCGGAGTGCATTTCACGCGTACCGAGTGTTTGTCACCGGTCTTCAATTGTTATGGTAGGAGCATGACTCTACATACTGGGTGTTACAATATTTTGCATTACAGTTTTAAGAAAGAACAATGCATATTAAAAATTGTTTTATTTTCATAAACACAAATTACATAATAAACATAAATAAGCAGAATAAATGATAGAAAAAATAAAAATTATTTTGTGTTATAGTAATTTATTATTTCTCTTGCTTGATTTGCAATTTCAGGTTCTCTAATTGTAATCATTTCCCTTATTATTTCCGTTTCTCCGCAGTAATTGATCCATTCTGTTACTTCTTCGCCAGAAATTGTTTTATATGCTGTATCGCATGAAGTAGTTGCTGACGACGAAGTGTGAAAATTGGTAAATCTTGTTTCACGGTTACAAATTTTATTCCAGGCATTAAAAATATTTGTTGCTGTGATATTGTTCCAACATTCAGAAACTATATCTATGCAATCTTTTATGTCATAATCTGCGTAGAAATCTGACACTCCACCAGTATATTGCAATACTTGATGTAATAACTTGTGACGAAAAAGGTTTTTAAATTTGGCTATTACGCCCTAATCCATCGGTTGGATCAGAGAAGAGGTATTGGGCGGAAGAAACATTATTTGAAAATACCCATCGTCCATTTCTTCATCTGATAATTTATGCCCACTGAAATTGTCCAGTATTGATAGAACCTTTCCGATACTGTTTTCTTGTAACTGACGTTTTCTTACGCGTGGCTTAAATTCATTCTCATACCATGATTGGAAAAGTACCCTGTTCATCCAGGAATTCTTGTGATGCATATATATTACAGGTAAATTGTTCTTACAGTGCTTTAACGCTCTTGGGTTCTCATATTTATTAATAAATAGCACTGGCAATTTATGGTTTCCACTTGCATTTGCACATAAAGCTAACGTAATTCTATCTTTTTTCATTTTTTTTCCTGGCATTCGGTTTTCGTTTGCACTTGCTAATGTTTTGTTTGGAAGCATCTTCCAAAATAAGCTCGTTTCATCCATGTTATACAAATTATCATCACTAATTTCATTGGTTTCCAATATTTGTGGAAATTGCTGAATAAACCTTTCTGCGGCACATTTATCGGCATCAGCACTTTCACCATGCATATTAATGAGTCGTAGATCATAAGACTTTTTGAATCGCCAAAGCCAACCTCGGCTTGGTGTAAAGTCTGAAGGGCCAACACCTTCTTCCTGAAATTCCTTTGCTTTTTCCAATAAAATATTATCAGTTATTTTATCACCCAATAAACGACGTTGTACGAACCAGCTATGCAATTGATTATTCAAGTCGTTACATGCTGGTGTACGAATTCGTGTTTGGAATGTTTGGAATCCTCCGCGAATTGCCGTATTGATAAGGTATTTTGTCGAATTCTTCTAATGCTTCTATCCGTTATATTATATTCGCATGCCAGATCTTTCACACTTGCACCAGCCTCTAATTTATTTAAGATATCCAACTTCTGTGTTATACTAATTTGTTTACTTGCCGAAGAACTGGTACTACTAGTATCAGCCATCGTGTATAATATAAAAATATAGCTACTCGACGTTTACAAGAATATAGAATTACAATCATGGATTAGGAATGACAAATGACGATGGAATTGACCGTCGCATTCGCATGTATAGAATATAGGTATCCTACTCGCACTCATCTCCTCTCCTTTCTTCAGTTGAATTCGCAGAAGTCACCTCCCCATTTAAGCGTCCGTATTTGGTCCCGACTGTGGACGCTTAAGTGGGCACCTCTGTAAAGTGTATACGTCACCTTTTGGCTCGAACTTTCTCCGCTTATTTCTTTTATTCAGTGCTATCACCTTGCTTCCGATTATCCTGAGAAATCCCACGTATGGCTTCCTGTTCGACCATGCTTCCAATGAGGTGGAATTGCCCAATACCTTCGTTGGACATCTATTCCTGATATATGTTGCTGCGTTTACGGCCTCACCCCACAGTGCGTCCGGCAGGATCGCTTGCATTAAGATGCACCTTGCCATTTCTACGATGGTCCGGTTAGCGCGTTCGGCTACTCCATTCTGCTGTGGCGTATATTGCACAGTCAGTTGGTGGGCGATTCCTTCCTCTTCCAAAAACTTTGAAGACTCAGTTGACAAATATTCCTTTGCATTGTCAGTACGTAATCGTTTAATCTGGCAACCGCTTTCCTTTTCTACTCGACGCTTGTAATTTCTAAAGGCATTAAATATATCTGATTTTCGGCGTAACATTACCGCTTCCACATACCTTGTATTGTCATCTATAAACGTAGCAAAATACTTTGCTCGACCCAACGATTCAGTCCTCATGGGGCCACAAATATCGGAGTGCACTAGGCCAAGCTTTTCCTTGCACCTACTCGTTGATTGTGTGTACGGTTGTTGGCTGATCTTCCCTTTGTGACATATTTCACAGTTTATTTCGGATGCGCCCGTCCGCAAGTTCATATCTGTAACCATTTCGTGCGATTTTAGTTTCTTTAAGTCATTCGCGTTTAAATGCCCGTAACGTTGATGCCACCGCAACAGATTATCGTTTTCATCGTTTGTGAGCAGCGTGTGGTCACTTATTTCGTTCACTAAATACAACTGTCCCTTTTTGGTGGCCGTTATCGCAGTAGTTCCGTTTGGTCGTTTTACACACGCACCTTTTGGGCCAAATTTCACATGATAACCTTTGTCAGTAATGGCGGAGACCGACAATAGGTTGTTCCTTAGATCCGGCACGTAAATGATGTTACTTAATTCTACTGTATTTGTGTCCTTTAAATTTGCTTTTACACTCAATTTGATTTTACCTTCCCCTCTAGATTTTACGCACTGATCTGCCGCTGTATATACATTGGTTGACGCATTACGCTCTAAAACACTAAATTTATTTCTCGAGCTGCACATGTGCCTAGTTGCAACACTGTCGTGACACCAAATATCGCGCTTTGTAACTTCCGTATTACATGCAATTGCCATCATCGCATCCACGGAATTATTTCGCTTTGTTTTCGATTTGCAATACCGGCTTATGTGGCCTAGTTTTCCACAATTGTAGCACTTTCCTTTGTACTTCGTATTGTTCGGTTTAGGTTGTTTATTATTCGTATGCGTTTGTCTGCTCTTGTTGTCGTCGTGTTTCGTTGCAAACGCTTCTGTGTTTTCTTCGTCGCGATCGGCTGCCTTGGCGTCCCGTTCATTCTGTCTCGCTTCCTCCTCCTTGAGTTTTGTCTTGAGGTATTCGAGGGTTGGCCATTCGTCACGTGATTCTATGGCAACGCTAAAGTTGTCGTATTTTGCCGGTAATGAGGCCAACAACATTATTGACAGGAAATCATCGGGAAGTTTGATCCCTGCAGCCTCCAACTGTTCAGCCTTGTGTTCGAAATCACTCACGTATTGCGTCATGGTCGCGTCCGGCTGTTTCGTCATACGTAATAGTTCCCGGTACAACGTAGCCTTTCGAACTGGCCCTTTCGATTCAAATATTCCTTGGAGTTTATCCCAGGCCTCTTTTGCCGTGTTGGTCTTCTTTATATGGTTTAATTGACTTTGCGAGACGCTTAAATTAATAAACGCTAAAGCCTTTGCATCTTTCCTTATCCATTCCTCAGCATCTACTTCTGGTTTTACCTCTGTTGCGTCAACATATGACCACAAATCGTTAATCACTAGAAAACTTTTCACATGAACCTTCCACAACTCGTAGGTGTTTTCCGTTAATTTTTCAAGGTTCGCGAGGTTGCTTACGGACGCCATACTGTTTCTTTTTGTTCGTTGTTCACCCGATTAATGTTTGCGATCATTCACGCACTCCACTGGCGTCCTGGCCCCATAACCTGACAGAAGAAACGAGGGAGTTTCTGTAGGTGGAGGGCGTGTTAATGACGAGCCTTGTTTGTTAGTAAAAAGAATATTTAATATGTTTAATGAAAAATGTATGTATCGCGCACTACATCCATGCAATTTGGCGTCCCCAATCTGATCTCAACAAAACAGAATCGCCGCCAGGGGCCTCAGTATCGCCATGCGTAGACCGACATCGATCTTACCGATCCAACAATAATAGAGCGATTGCAACTCAAAAAGAACTTATCAACTGGTTTGAAAATAGTTTAACAGCCAGGATAGCGAAGTTTAAATCGTTAAGAGCAGAGTTACACGGATCTATAAAAGTATGTGAAGGTCAAAGGAGAACAGATGCTGAATCACATGCATCATCATCTCTTATCTGGAAGGATGTAGAATCAGCTTTCCATAACCGGATAACTACAGGAATTATAATCAATACCGAGCATATTGACCCACGAAACTTTTTGGAAGATGCTAGAAAAATAGTATTCCAACGTCTAGCGGAAGTTTTCATAAAATCATTCATCCATAAAAGTGAACACGGTGTTGTATGGGGAGTTTATCGTTAATAATAAAAGTGATGTGAAAAGTTTCAGTGTGAGAAATAAACAATTATTTTCTACATCGAACTTGAACGATTGGTATGACAAATACGTTGTGAACTCAACTTTAACACTAATGGAAGAATTTCAGAAACGGAACAGCGGTTGGGCGTTATCGAAAATTCTGCATTTGATGCTGTAAGTGAAGCGCCTCGCTTGGTTCTTTAAAGGTCGCAGAGGCACGGCTAAGGGTAATGTTGTGAGTTTTTTTGATGGACTTTGGAGGAGATTCTAAGGCTTTGAAGGAATGTAGGATAATTTTGATAATTCGAAGAGCCTGGTCCGCGAAGGTCCGGCTACTTCACAAGGAAGGTTTCCTGGGTGTGATGGGATTTAGAGTGCCTGGTCCGCGAAGGTCCGGCTGCTCTGCGATAGGTTTTTGAGGTAGGGGAGAGCCTGGTCCGCTAAGGTCCGGCTGCTCCGAGGTAGGTCTGGCTAAGGAGGTTACCAAATGCCTAACTGACTTTTTGGGCAGTTTTATCCGGGATTTATACTAGTTTCTGTAGTTACGTCCGCCCAATCAGGAGCGCGTATGACCGAGTGCGAGGGTTTTTATGGTAGTACCTGCAAGTACTCGGCATGCGGCGGACGCGGGATTCGTATGCCTTACTTGGCTATACATATAATATATTTTAAGCAATAAATGCAACCCGATGCACGCTGGTTGTTACACCGACATACCAAAAACAATCAAGAACAAAAGAGCGGTAGTAAATGTGACAGTTGACGATGATTCGTGTTTTGTCAGATCGATAGTTGCAGCATTATATTCCGTCCATGTGAATGCAAATCGACCATCGTCGTATCCAACTGTGACACCGTTTTAAATTTGGAGGGCACCGCATTTCCAATAACCCTTAATCAAATACCAAAATTTGAGCGTCAAAACGATGTTTCGATAAACGTGTAACGGGGTTGGTCGGTTCGGTGCGCACGGCGTTGCGCAACGCGGTCGGTTTCCCGGGGCCAGGGTTCGCAAGGGAACAGGTCTGGTAAATAACGAGGCAGTTTTAGGTAGAAAAATATATATATGTTTATTCATCTATGGATGGTGAGTATACATCGGCGGTGGTTAGTCCCGCCGGGATGGTCGGGCGGCCGTCTCCTGCCTCGCGAGCTACAAGCAGAATATCGTCTGGTGGTTAGACGCATGGAGCCAATTCGCACTTAGCCTAATCTACAAGACTTACTTGCTACGGTCGGAACCCGGTCCGTTACAGAAGTTTCGCGGCCTTAAAACTAGTGCGGTTCGTAGCTGTCGCTACGCTGTCTTACAAGCTAACGGCGCGGTGTCGGAGCGCGAATGCGAACGAACGCAAACGTAAACGGAAGAGTCGGGAAAGGATTGACCCGATTGGGCCAACGGTGTTTTATTCAAACGCGCTGCGGTGTTTCGCGCTGTGGTGGAGTTGCTGCCCGCTTGCCTCACGCGGCTCGTCTTTTCGTACACCGAGGTAGAACCGAACAGCGAACGAGACGACGACCAATCCTGGCCAGCCTGGGTAGCACCACGAAGCTGGACGGAATCGGCTGCTAAAGGCAGAATGCGGTGCCGAGTAGGCTAGCGTTCGGAATCCCTGTGGAAGCACCGACAGAGATAATGAACACGCACTAGCTTGGTCACCCCGGGTCGGCCACGGAGATGACGAGGCTAGGCGCCTACGGCTGCTGGACCTATGGGAGCTGCCAGGTCATGACATAGTCACAGTATAGGAAAGAACAGTAGGCTCACTCCGTGTCGGCACCTTTGATCTCATGACCAATAGATCGCCATATTGCTGGTTGTGCGCGGGCTCTAATTTGAAAAACACTCGGTACAATCAAACAAAGATTTCGTAATAGAATACCATAAAAAGACTATTAAATATCTACATTTAATTAAAATACACATTTTATTGAAATCTCTGTACAATACAATTATTATATACAACAATTATTCAATTAATAAAATCCTAATAAATTATATACAAATGTATAATATATACAGCATATCTTAGAGATTAATAAACAACCCATAAAGTGGTAATATTTTGATAAAACAATGATGATAATAATAATAATAATGTCTATATCTAAAAT